ACGGTAGAACAGCGCTTGGGGCTCCTGTGTCGGCATCTGTAGGAGTAGGACCGCATTAGTGAAAGGAAAAGTGGCTGAGATGTAGTTTGCTAGAAAGTCTGCTTCCATCTTGCGCTGAGAAGGGGTTTGCTGGGCATTGGCCCTGTCAGGTAGCCTTTTGGTAGGCTGAGGAGGCTGTGGAGAGACTGCACAGAGTGCGGGCTCTGCATACTGATGGACTCGGGGCCGGAATGGGGCGATACATCCTTCTCCCTGGCAAGCACTCAAAAATGAGGTACTTTTTTGAGTTTCTGCAATTTATTTTTATTACATTTTAAAAAATGTGTCTGTGCACATAGATGCTGATTGGTAATGCCATATAATGACCAAGGTGTTATGACCTCTAGAGAGGAAATGGAGACTAGAAATGCCCTGCTGGAGTCTCTGGGATATTGTGTCTTCATGGAGCCACCTTTTGACACCTTATAGGAATGGTCTACAGAATCCAGTGCGAGCAGCACCAATGAGAAGGCAGAAGAAGCCATGGCCAGCCAGGCCGGCAATGCAAGGGGCTTGGGAAATGCCTGGGTCTCCGGTTGGAAACTATTCTTGTGTTTCCTCATTAAGTTGAATTTCCAGAAATGTGTAGGGAGACTTACTCCAAGACTGGATAGTTTCTCTTAGCCAGTTGAGAGTTTAATTAGTTTAATATTTATGACTGGGGATCATGTTCTGTTTTGTATGGAAGGTTTGCGGTGCAAGAGAGCCCTAAAATCCTAAGGCGCTGTTTCTGTTCAGCTCAGTAGAGAACAAACTACCTCCAAGCGCTATGCCAGCATAGTTGTTACAGCTGGCACTCGGCGTCTCTTTGCTTTGTAAATGTCAATTCCGTGCTGCCATTGGTGTTGCAGGTGTGAAGAGGTTTGGGTGTGAATGAATCTCCCAGGAAGATAGCCCTCCCTGCTTACTGGAATCATTCGAACCTCATCACTGCATGGTCATTCCCCACCAGCAAAGCGATCGGGGCCTGGCTTTCAACCTGCTGCGCTGTCTCATTTTCTTTGCTTGTGAGACGCGGGTAGCTGGTATCAGAGCTCTTGTAAACACTAAAATTATGAGATTCCAAGAGAAAAGCCAAAAGGACAACATTTTAATAAGATGTGTGCTTGAACTGTAGTGGCATATATCACGTCATAGATACGCCTGCATCCCCACACTTATACTTTAAGCACAGTGGTTCTCAACCTTCCTAACACTGTGACCCTTGTGGGTGGCGACCGCCAACCATAAAATCATTTTCATTGCTACTTCATAACTGTAATTCTGCTATTGTTATGAACCCTAATGCAAATACCTGGTATGCAGAGTATCTGATATGTGATCCCTGTGAAAGGGTCATTTGACCCTAAAGAGGTCACAACCCACAGGTTGAGAACTCCTGTTTGAGCATCTCTTGCTGCTCTACCTGGGCCAACATGGGGTGTTTGTTAGGTGCTCTTTTTATTTTTCCACACTGCCCCTATTGTGTTAACTGATGAGCCAAGGACTTTTTTTTGGAATGATATGCAGAGGGGAAAGCCAAAAATCTGGAGTGGGGCAAACCTGATATACCCCTGTCTCCCCATGGCAACCAGATAGGAGAGTTAGATAGAGCTCAGATTCCTTGTCTGTAATCTGGAGAATATGTCGCCCACTTCCCAGGACCTGGGTAAGTATCGTGCTCTCACAATGGGGCAGCTGGTAGGCGGGTACTCGACAGGCTTGGACCCTGGGCCCCAGACCAAGGTAGGATGTCCCCCAGGTGCATCTATCTGTGCTGTCCTTGGTGAGACATCTAGAGGGCATTTCTTAGCGTGTACCAGTCTGCGACACTGCATCTCCTGGAACAATTCCATCAGGCCACCGTCCTTGCCTCTTCACCCATGGCTTCCTTCTCCTTGAAGAGGAGGTGAATGAAAAACAGCAAAGTGAAAAGAGGAGAGGACTCTGGTTGAATTGCGGTTTTCGGTAGGCCACTGACAAAGTTCGGTAGGATCGGGAAGGAGGCAAGCCGGAACAGGACCGATGGAATAAGAGGAAGTAGAACACCAAGACAGAAAATAGAGTTGATTCTGGCTGCCGCGGTATTGGCTCACAATGAACTGGCAGTGTCTTGGGAATGCCAGACGATAAAGGTTAAGGTGTTATGTGAATGTTTCCAGTTCTCTCTCAGGCTTGAAAATCAGATGTAATACATGAAGATATCTTTTGCATGCAGGCCCCAGTGCGGTGGAGATTGTGAGCAATGGGCTGCTGATAAGGATGTGGGTGGCTGTACAGGAAGTGTCCGTCGTCGTCGTCCCCCCCCCGGGGGGCATATAATAAGCAGCCACTGAAATCGAGGCCAGCATGTGTGTCTGGAGATAGTTCTGGAAGGGTAGGAGTTGGCCTCATTGTCTTCCTTCCCAGCCCTGCCCTGCCCTGCGTTACAGAGCCTTGAAGATGCTGCTTAGCCCCTTGCTCTGCCATATTCTTTGAAAATTGAGACTGCCATCCATTTCCCCTGGGTGTAGGGAGGGTTTGAATTTAAGGGGATTTTTTTTACTAAGAGTTGCTAGATAGCATATAGAACAGATAATTTTTCTAGTGCCCTCTATTGTGTGGCAGCAGAGAGATGGAGAAAGCTCTGATAGATGGCTCTGGAACCCTCAGAGAGGGCTTGCTCCATGTCAGTGTGAGCCCTCAGCACCTTCATGACTCACGGTGCAGCTGGACTCTTGGGGCTGGAGTATTGAGCAGTCCTGTACTTCTGCTGCTCATCATATACAAGACTCTGGGTCTGACTCCTAGTATTGAGAGGTGGGAGGGAGAGGAGAGAGAAAAGGGAGAAGACCAAGAACCAAGAATAACATGTGTTTGTATACAAATTGCCTTATCAAGGCATAGTCTGGGCACATTCTTTGGCCACTAGATAACCAACCAGTGTCCAGGCTTGGAAATTCTGACTGTGTGCCCCCCCTCAGCCACAGCACGAGGGTGCATGTGTACTGGACAGTATAACAAATGCGAATCCTCGAGTCCACCCAAAGTGGTTGGATTTGCAAGTCCTCGGGAAGCCTGGAAGAGCTGTATCCACATCCACAAAGGCAAATGCAGGAGTTAAATATTTTGTACATAGGCTCCTCTGTGAGGTTGGATTGCTGCGAGGTAGTGACATGAGAACCTCCCTCTGCTCGTGCCTACTCACCCACCAGCTGGCATGGGATGAGCAGAACATAATTCTAAATGCTGGAGCAACTTTAAACACCAATGAAGGGAGCCAAGCATGGATGCCACGGGTGTTCTGATCTTAGTGAGAGAAGAGGGGTTGGGGAAGAAGAGGGCCATCCGGGTGCCTTGCTTTCCATTGTTCTCCTGTTGTCTGGACCCTCTCTGAGGCCAGGAATGGACGTCCTGCTGGGTTGGTGGTGCCCTTGGCACCCAAGGATGGAATACTCCCCTGGTACTCCCTTTTCCCTGGGCGTGGGTCCCGCACAGGTGAGTTGATGGGAGTTGCAAGAAGACTCTTCCTCCAGCCTCCCCTTTCCACAGCCTCACGGGGCACCCCAGTCTTCAGCAGTCCGGACAAAGCAGTGTCTGATAGCTGCCCAGCCACGGAACTATCACCGAGGCCATCCTAAGGAGAGTGGGACACCTTCCTTCTGTTTGGCTGTGATATTTTGTTCATTATTAAGTACCCTCAAATTTGTCCATTAACCAAGTTTGGAGAATCCCTGGGCTTTAGAATCTTGAACTTCTGGGAACAGATCTGTCTTGACATGTTCTTGTCACTGACGAAGTTTTCATAGTATTATGGGCCAGTCAGAATTTGGAGAGATAACATTTTTGTGAACACATTAAAAAAAGATGGTTCCTAAAACACAGATTACATAACTTCCTCCTACATGATTATGTAGACTGAAAATAATAGATGTATACCTATGTTCGTAAATTGATATTTGTTTCATTTCTTATAGGTCTCTCCCCCCCAATTAATAGAAGTCATTTTATTTCAGTTCAGGTCATTAATAGTTCTCATTAGGGCTAGAACTCACTGCGTATAAGGCAATTTGTTATTTGTCTTACATGGTTCTCTCTCAACTTTGACAGATAGTCTGTGAGCTTGGCTGTGTCACTTTTATTTTGCTCATGTGCAAAGTTGTCCAAAGAGGTGAAACAGCCTGGGAGCCTACAAACCATAAAGCAGCATAAATGGAATTTGAACTGGGTCTAGCAAAGTATATTTTACTTCGAATCTTTTTTGCTGGGTTCCTGGTAGACTCGAGTCAGGTTATTAATGCTACAGAGGAAAAACGTAAAATCCAAGAACATGCACCTGGGGCAACCAGGTAGCAACACAGCCAAGGATGGTGTTGACTGTGCAACCATCACAGGGTGGTACTGAGAAATTATAAAGCAGATAGCTTTTGAATTTAAAGGCAGATCCTGAGCTTACAATTGAAATCACCAGGAGAAGGCACTGTGCTTTAAGTGGGCCTAGGAGTACGGGCAGAATGTTATCTAAGGGAAGTTAGCTGTGATGACTTCTGAATACGCAGGTAAATAAGGAAGACATTAACGAGACTCTGTGGAGTATGCGTATTGCATACATATGTATTCGTATTTGTGTGTGCCTAAACATACTCCGACTTGCCTTCTTTATAACTCCTCTTCAGAAACAAAAGGCTGGTAATTTTAGGCAGTAACATTGTTCTACCTGCATTCCCTAGCTGTCCCGAGAACAAGGAGACATCTGAGCAGTGCTTCCTATTAATAGACATCATTCATGTTTGCACTGGCTAGGTAGGGATGGGGTGGGTTTTTAAATTTTTTCTTCTCCAGGCATCTGTGAATGGAGCCACTCCCTTTTGTGTTTTACTATTTTTTTCCCTTGGAGTGTCTGCTTTTTTTCCTAGCCTGTTGGAACAGTACACTTCCTGTTCTGCCTGATTTTTAAAATTCTGCCTGTCTGCCTGGCACAGTCAGCCTGTGTTTCTGTGTAGTGTACAGGTAGGGCATGTGGGCAGCCTCCAGTCCATCCTCAGCGTGAATGCTGTGAGACCTCTGTGACCGTACAATTAGAGGCTGCACATCGCATTCTTCTCCAAGCAACAAAATTGCAGCACCCAGAAGAACAAGCAGGACAACTTCCAAAGTGACCATTGTGGGCCAGTCTCCTGTGTGCTCCCTTGGTAAGCTTGTAGTGGATTTCCCAGAAGGATGGTGTGAATTGGATGCAAAGATGGTACCGTGGATGTTCCTCAAGTCTGTGTGACTCTACCAAGACACTTTGAAGTGGTCCTCCTGACGAGCACAGGGAGAAAATGCTGAGATTAGGTGAGTTGAGGCTGTTTGCAGTCTGGATGCAGTGTCCGTTGGGATCTGGTGGGATGTGTTCAGATGCCTAAGTCATTTGGTACTGCTATATTCGAAGGAGTAACGCTTGGTCATGCCTTTGGAGGGGCAGTGCTTCCTAAACTCACAGGTTTCTACCTGGCTATGGGGAGCCAGTATTAGATGAGAGAGATATGGGTATTATAGGTTAAAAATGGCATATTTGGAGTACAGATAAATAATTTCACTTGTGAACAAGTGAAGTCTTGAAAAGTTTTAGAAGCACAGTTCTGTAAGATTTCATACTTTTTAAAATCCACCGTTTATTTTGTGTATTTCCTTATAGTTATGAATGGCAGTATACCTCTGGTTGATTCCCAGGAGTCTGCTGATTTGTAACTTGTAAATACCTAGTTTTGCTTTTTGTTTCTGTTCCTCATTGAGTAACTACTTGTTCGAATATTACTATTCTTACTTTTTACCCTCATAGCCAGAGAGCAACTTTACCCACATATAAAACCTTTTGCCTTTTAAAAATAATGCCCAAGGCTTGGCTGTAGCCACACTTAATGTTGCTACAAATAAATAATTTGACCCTTAAGATAAGTTGAAACAAAAATGTGAAGAGTTGAAATGAAGAGAACTTTTTAAAATGACCTTTCAAGTTATTTTGGTATTTATGCATGTCTCTACAGGTCTGTGCATAGAATTGTTTAAGCTTATCTAAAAGTTTTATACTCAAAGCTTTGGGGGAGTCAAGTATGTGGGGGTACACCTATAAACCCCACACTTGGCAGGGTAAAGCAGGGAGACAGTGACTTCAAGGGTTTTCAGCAAGACTTGCTCAAGAGAGAAAGAGGAGAAAGAGAGAAGGGAACGGAAGAAAAAGGCCGTGGGAAGAGGAGATTCATGGGGTATAAAGTGAATAGTAGTAAGACCTAGAAATGAAAAGACAGAGGTAGGTGTTGATGTAACTTGTCTCAGCTCATTAACTGAGCCTTTGGCAGCCAATACTGTTTTGCAGAGTTGCAATTTCTCTTGGATGAAATGTGGTCATGTGCACATTATTTATATGTGTCAGAGCTGTACGTGTGATCGTCTGTTTGTGTGCACTTGTGGTATATATGTATTCATTCCCCCCCCCGTCAATCTGGTATGTAAAAACAGGCATGTGTCTGTGACTGATGTTACGGCGTATACACGATACAACTGGGGTAAGAGCCAGATTTGCTGGTTTTGGGGATCGTTCCAAAGGAAGGAATGAACTTTGGCAGAAAGGCTTACATGTAAGTCTTCCAGGGCTGGCGTCGTATGATTTCATGGGTGAGCATGCAGCACTGGAGGGCAGTTTATAAATTAGTGGCTGGAAATAGGCAGGCTCGTGTGAAAAAGAAATGAGGCTGTGAGAGCCCAGCAGAGGGCCAAGGGACTTAACCACTCCATAACTGGTGAATTTCCCCTTCCGATGCCAGCACATCTCATGCTGCCCTCTAGTGGAATGATCGGGGGTGCACATGGGAGCACCACCACGTGTTTGTTTGCCCTTAGGTGTTCTCAGTCAAGAATTAGAGCGGAGGAGTGTACCCTTCTCCCTGCATATGCTATTGATTTAGAATTTGGAGCTGAGCGGCAGTGTCAGGAACGTCTCATTGGCAAGATGTCACTGCCTTCTGACGAGACTAGACAGTGGGCCCCTGCTTGCCCAGTTCTGCCGCAGAATGCAGGCATGTCACAGCTGGCCCTGGCACTTTATGTCTTCACTTGAGTTGTCTTGTTTTCTCATGTGGTTACAGAGTAAATGCTGGTAGTGGAGATGGAGAAACCTATGATCATGGGCACCGCAGCCCACAATCCTGAGAGCCAAAGAAACAATGAAGGTTGGCACTGTCTTCTTTCCACACACATGCTGTGTTCCTGTGGGGTCCCAATGATTCCTTCAGACCCTGGGGATACAGAGGTAAATCAGGCAGGTAGAAAGACATGCTCTTGGAGAGCAGCTGTCGTAGTTTAAGGACACTGACCCCCAAACACAATAAATATGTAAAATATGTAATAAGTCGATACTAAGTGCTAAGAAGGGCAACTCTAAACATGAAGAGGGAAATAGCGATCTCTCTGTGTGTACACGTATGCTTACGTGCACATATGTTGATGAGTTATAGAAGTGATTGCAGTTGTGAATACTCACTAAACATGTTATATTAGACTCACCTGAGCAGTATAGGAAGGCTAGCTAAGGCTATCCTGGGCAGAATGTTGTAGGCAAAATGCAAACAGCAGCAAAGTCGCTGAGGTCAGAACATCCTGTTGCGTTCCAGATCCCAGCTCATGGGAAGAGAAGAGATGAGTTAGAGACGGATGGGGATAAGACTAAAGGGGCCTCAGAAAGTTTTATTCTGTTTTAACGTTTACTGGGCAGTTGGCCTAGTTTCTTCAGTTTACAAATGGAAATCAAGTCAGGGATCCATGGCCATTCTCCCTTGCAGTGCCACATTGGAACACAATTCACCTTTCCACTCCGGCATCCTTCCCACCACCCTGTCTACCCAGGCAGGGATGTGAGGCTGCATACAGCCTCAGACGTCCACGTGCTGTGGGCTCCTCTAGCATTGATGTTTCTGCAGGATTGCCTCTGTCTTTCCCCTAGTATATCAATACTCACCAGCAGAGGCCCCACAGCCACCAAAACAATGAATCATTCCCCCTTGAGTCCAAATGTTGGCCGTGCCAACACTGCCCACCTGGGGAATGACATAAATCCTTCGCGTTTTCCTGATAATTCTCTACGATTCAATAGTTTATTCTTCACCTGTGTTCATGATCAGGTTATTTGGGCATAATTAACATAAGATGAAATTTCTACATTCCTAAGCTCTCAGGAAAGTAAGATTGAACATCAAATATGATTTAAATTAATCTGAAAGCTGAAGTTGAGATGAGTCAGAACACCAAAGGCAGTTTGTCCTGCATAGGTTTGCCCTGACCTTGTCTTTTTGTTGTACGTTGAACTACTTCAAACCATTTTTCCCTCATTGCATTTCTTTACATCATATGACTGTTGTCCTCTGGATACAGACCAAGTCCTCCAGTATCACTGTGTGATGTAGGTCAGACCAGGGCTAAGTACAGAAAAAAATAACTTTGAGATGTCACCTGCATTGTCTCCTCTTGCTTAATCACCCTATGTCCCATCTCCAGTAGAGAAAGTGACAGAAAGTGTTTTCATCTTTTGTATGAATTTATCCTGGGATCTCTCACATGGTTCTTTCCCTTCGTCTTAAGAGATCATATTGTAGATGTGAGATTTATTCACTGTCGTCATCATCACCACCATCATTATCACCATTGCCCACCACCTTCCACTTTTGTGCTGGTTTGAATAGTTTCTTCTCTTTTCTCCTTTTAATTGCCAGCCGAGGTCATTTCATGTCCCTTTGTAATGGCTGCTGAATCCTTCTTGGAGCCTATAGGATGAGCATGAATTTGCTGCCTTTTTTGTTTTCAGTTCTCAGAGTAAACTTCTTTGATTACTTTGGGAGCCTGGGGGCCCAGAGCTGTGAGATCTTTTGCTCTATAGTTTTTGGGAGTGGCTGTTCTAGGAGAGCTTTCTTAGCCAGATTTGGTGGGAGTCTAAGAATGAGGGGCCTGCTGGAAGAAATTCTTAGCAGGCAGCATCACAAGTATTTGCTACACGGGGGAGATGGGGAGTCGGAGTCCCCTTTAAAGGTGCCCCAAAGAGTTTAGTTAAAGCCCAAATGGATTGCCAGCTTCCAGAAAGTTGTCTTGTTGGAATTTTGAGTTTCATTTGTGATATCACAAAGTGGAAATGCAGAGCTGTGATTGGCTGTGTGCTCAGAGTGGAAATGCAGAGCTGTGATTGGCTGTGTGCTCAGAGTGGAAGTGCAGAGCTGTGATTGGCTGTGTGCTCAGAGTGGAAGTGCAGAGCTGTGATTGGCTGTGTGCTCAGAGTGGAAGTGCAGAGCTGTGATTGGCTGTGTGCTGTGTTCCTTGTTCAAAGCGTACCACATGGACTGTGAGCACTGTTGGGGTCTGTTTAATTTTTGTTGCCAAAGACAAAGTCTTTGTTATGTAGCCTAAACTGGCATCACACTCTAGATCCTCCAACCTTAGCCTTCCGAATGCTGGCATTAGAGGCATGAGCTCTCGAGCCCAGCTGTCTTTGAACACCGTAAAGGCAAAACTCAAGCCTATCCTTTCTGTATTACAATGTGTTGTTGATTTGCCACCTTTCCAGGTAACTGTTTGGTGACATTTCTGCCCTTCACCACATATGCTGTGGCATTCCTGCGTGTGCCTTCAGCACCCAGGGGAAACCCCAAGTCATACCTGACCTCACTCCTGGCTTCTTACAGTTTGGAACATGGGGCTTTTATCTGCACGAGCCTTCCAGCACCTTATCCTACCCTACAAATGTTGCCCTTTTGCCTTTTGTTGGGAGGGAGGCAGTCAACAGCAATCCCCACTATGTTCTGGAAGGAAATTGATGCACAGAGGGCCAGCCACAGCAAGGACTACCTTTTTATTAGTGGATTTTAGTCCAAACCTTAATGAAACCCTGGATGAGGTTTCAGAGGACCTGGGTCAAGGCATATTATCACCAGTGTCTCAGGAGGCTGGTTGAATGGGGTTACAGTCCAGATTCTGGATGTTTAGTCGTATAGTTTCCAAGAGGACATTTGTGTGATTAGCTTTGGGATATTGTGTGAACTTCCTGGGCCCATTTTCCTGTTTAATAACAAGTTTAAAGAATGAGGAAATGATCCTGCATTGGGTTGTTAGCATTCTGATTCTTGGGTTTCATGCAGGCTGTGGTAGACTGTATCCTGAGGAACTGAGCTGTAGGTAGCTGTGGAGAGTTGAGTCCTCCCCGTGAGAACCCATACACACAGGCAGGCGATGGGCCCATTTCTGTATTGCATGCTACGAATTAGCTATGAAGAGGCTTCAGCTGTCTGGGTGCCAGGTGTGAATGGCCCCCGCTA